TGCCAGAGAGTCCATTAGCGATAGAGCTAAAAGTGAGTCGCCAGCATCATTAGGATTTTTGGACAGGTTTCCTCCTACCGGGAATAGAACGTTAGCATCGAATTGAGCAACCCACTGAGCCCTTCTGCTTAGTCTCCTTTGTTTTTCTCCATTAGACGACACTGTCGCTCAACGAAGAGTATTGCGTCGGTGGACCTGAACCCAAGTCTTGATTCTCGGTGACAATTGTCTTGCACCATGCGATTAAACGATTAATAACTATTGTATCATTTAAAAATTAAAAAAAATTTAAGTATTAATGGAACGTAAGCATTAGTTTGTCGAAGTTTGACTAACAGACTGAAATATATAAAATTCTTTCCCGAAATCTACAAAAGCATTTTATTTGCCCCACAAAAACATTTTGGTGGTTTTGAATGACTTAGAATGGCATAGGAAAATCATTGACGCAGAATTTATTGGATATTTCATGAATATTTTTCATTTTGTTGCGAAATTTCTTCTTTAAGTGGAATTTTTTATATTTTTTAGAATGCAAGGACGGTCGAGAATGCAAATGCGCGAAATGTCACGGCAGCCAATATCAAGGTGGATGCAAAGAATGCATGGAAAGTAAGTGCATTTATTCAGATCTTTGATGGATTAGATAACTCTAATTAAGGCTTTTCCATAATTAAATTATAATAGTGGTGAAATGATAATTATTAAGGAAATTTAGACACAATTCGTTATTTTTTTCATTTATCTATTAAAGAAGATTTTAAATTGTTATAAAAAATATACAATTTATTTTCATGATTATCATTTCAAGATTTGAATAATGATAATGAAAAAATTTGCGTATGGAATGAATTCTTTTCAAAATTTATAAGAATATTTTAAATGACGTGAAAAAAATTTGCGACTATCGACTGATATGAGAATTAAAATTTGAAAAAATCGTTAGGACTGATTCAAAAAAAATTACCATTTCAAAAAGGCCACTGATTTTATCAGTTTTAAATAAGAATTATTAATGACCATTTGAATATTTCCGAAATGAAAATTTATAAATTTTTCAAGGTTGCCATGTGGGTAAGGAGTGCACATGCAAATGTGATTCGTCATGCAAATGTCACTGTTCAGCGAAAAGCCATGTTTCGTGCAAATGCACCAAATAGTATTTTTTTTTCGAGAATTTCACCATATTCCAGACTGATAATTGTTTTTTTTTATAAATTTTATAAACTTCGTAAAAATAATAGTTATTTTCATACAATCCTTGATATATTAACGATGATTTATAAATTTTCAGATTCAACCAGAAAAAAAGAAGGAAAAACTTGCTTACAATTATTTTATATTATAATGAACATTAATGTGCTTGCTTTTCTTTTCATTTAAATAGTTGTCGAACCAATTATTTCTACGGAAAATATATCAATTATTTCTGGATTTTTATTATTTCTTTATATGATTTTTAATGTTTAAAAGATTTCGCTAATAAATCATTTATTTTAATTTGTTTAAAAATCACTTATGTTATGATTTTATGCACCAGAGCGAACAAAAATAATCGCAAAAATTTAAAAGGTTTACAAAAAATAAAACTGAGATTAAAAAAAGAAGGTGGGCAGTTTCATAAACAAGTTTCGGAGCAAAAACCGACCAAATAAATAAATGATAACGATGAAAGAATAAAGAGAGCATACATATTGTTAGTCGCAAGAAGATTATAAAAAATAAATAAATGAAAAAAAGAGAAAATTGATAATTTTTATCACTTTTATTGTCATTTAACGAATCATTCTTGGCTAAATTTAAGCATCGAAACCATGAGAAAAAGACCGTTAGAGGCATTGCGAAGATATTTAACGCAAGTTGAAAAATGATAACGACTGGTTGATAAGATGATAAGCAATTATAACCAACGGAAATATCAATCGTTGAAAAATTATTCGAATTGCCCTAAAAAATAAAAGATTATAAAATTTAGAATTGTATAACTATTTATTCCAGAGTTTTTTTTAAAATTTTTCTTTCAAATTAGATTGAAAATAAAATTTTTCTCTAAATGAGATAGAATCTATAAAATCAACAATTTTAACTGTAAATCGCTAAAAAAGAAATATTATGAGGAATTTTTTAAAAAAAATCAAAGTCAAATCAATTTCAGTGAAAAACGATTACGATAACAAATAATGGAACAAGCCAGAATGAAACCAATCAGAAAAGATGAGTCACCTGTCTCATTATTTATTTTACTGACATATGTGATATTTAATCAATTACGGTTGGAAATTTGTATAAAGAAAATGATGAAAATATTTACCGAATAGAAGAACGATGAAAAAATAGCGAAAATTATAGCAAACGAATGACTTTCGAATTTGGAAAGCAATATACCCAAAAAAATTTGAAGCGTTAGCAATAGGAGAAGATTTCTCCGAATAATTGAGATCTGCCATAGCATTAAAGCAGTTACGGGATCACCGAACAAAATCAAATGAGTAAACGAAGAAATAAATGCAAAAAAACATACAAACCATTCACTGAAATAAAAATTATAATTATGAGGAAAAAATTTATGACTTTTACAATTGTAATTCATGCAGCTTGTAACTTTAAATTGTATAATAAATGAATAGAAAACAAGAAAATTTTTTTGCTCCTTTCTTTTTAATGATAATCAATTGTTTTAAAATGAAAAAAGTGGAAAATTTTCGAGAAATTTTCGAGTGCAAAATTAAAAAAAAAATTAATAAATGAAGAATAATAATGAACAAATATTTTAAAAGTGTTGACAGTAAGATCAAAAAATTCCTTTTCTTTACTCGCACTAGCAGAACTCTTGAAAAATCCACTCAACAAAAAAAAAAACTTGAACTCTTGGAAAAAATTCTTTAAAATACAATAAATTGATATTCATCAAGTGTTTTACCTTGCAAAATGACGAAATATTACGAACACAAAATTTGCGATCATTAACATGAAATCAAACAATAATCGACAAGAAAAAGAGTAATATCTTCGTAAAAATAAAAATATATGGAAAATTATGACGGCTCCTGCTGCTATATTAATAACTGTTCCCGAATAAAGCCAGTTTTTTCTATAATTTAATAAACAAATACAAACGAAGAATAAAAATTTCACAGATAAAATTTAAAAATTAAAAATTTTATAGATGATAAAAATTTTAAAGTTGGAAAGAAGAATATCTTAAAGCTCTAAAAAATATTGTTATTCGATTATTCATCTTCTTCTAATTCTCACCATTACTGATCAGGCCAGCGCAACTGGCTACAAGGGTAAAGCATTTCCAAACTGTTCGATCTGATGCCATCGCTGACACTAATGGAAACTATTCCTTTTCCCATCGTTTAAGTCCATATATTGCTAGTCCATCTATACGTTTAAAATCTTTCCAGAATGTAAGTCCAAATCCTCTTTGCTTTCGACGCCATTCATCACAGGGTTTAGCACATAACGAAATATATGCCAAATTCTGTGGGTGACAAAGAACTTGCTCCAATTAAAGAAGGTGATAATATAGTATTGTTAATGCAGGTGATATTTGAGTAAGATGGATGCAACCTCTTCGATTAGTAAATTGTATCTGAAGGAATAACTACTTTCGAAAAAATAAGGAAATAGGCCAAATAAAAAAACGGAGAAAACTTGTGACAACTAAATAATTTAAAAACATACAAAATTTCTGACAAGTCGGATTGAAAAGATGAATCGATACTAGTTATATGACGATATAGTGACCATTTCCAACCTGCAATATCATGTTTGTAAAATTCACTTTAAAAAAAAGTATACAAAAAAAGTTAACAAAAATTTCAGAATAAAAATTTAAGAAACCTTTTATATTATATTATTTTATACTTTTATACTGTTGAAACGAAAGTTTTTTAAGATAAAAATTTGAAAGTTGGAAAGTTGGAAAAATTAAATTTATAAAGTGAGATAAAAGAGATTTTGATGAATGAGAATTAAAAGATTGCCATGATCTTGAAGCATATTAATATTATCCTTTTCCATAATCCACCTTCGTCGAAATCCTCCTTTGTATGCTGAACAAATCCTATGCACCAATAGAGCAAAAATAGTTGTGATTATTGGAGTTTTAAACATCCGCCTTCTAGAACAAATCTTTTTTTAAAATTTTTTTATTTAGTTATGTTTGGATTCTGACAATTCGAAATTTCTAGAAATAAATATTTAAAAACTTTTGGAACTAAAAAGAATATTCATGAAATGAAATTAAAGAAAAATGCACTTTTTCTCTGAAGTTACTATTGTATTCATAGCGCCGCAACCCACAATTGAATTTAACCAATTAATCACATTCTCACAAAAACGAACAAAAAGATACGACGAAAATAAAAAATATCTAAAGATAATTTTATTACCGCTTTAGAAAAATAAAATCACAAAAAAACTTAAATCTGAAATTTAAATTACATTTGTAAATTATATTTATCATTTTCCATATTCATTAATTTCTAATACTATGATATAAACAAATGGACTCTTTGTTGACCCTTTGATTAATTTTCAAATAATAAACAATAAATTTACACAATGAATCTAGAAAAATTCGTATTTGAACATGAAAAAGAAAAAAATTTCTCATATAAAAAGAAATAAAATACCAGAAAATGAAACATACTGAACATCATGTTCTTCTTCAATAAAGCTTGAAGAAAAAAAAATGGAAACATTTATAAGCGGAAATATATAAAAAAATGCTGAAGAAATTTTGACCTTTCTTTTTCTTTGTTTGCCATTAGCTGCAAACAAATTTGTTAGTGAATCTTATTAAATTTATGAAATTGAATGGTCGAAATGAAATCGAAAAGACTATTTCATGTATGATAACTTTGAAATTTAAATTTTCATAAATTAAATTTTCATTGAAATTTAAATTAAATTTAAATTAAAAAAATTAAAAAGCAGAACGAGCTAATAAATAACAATAAAAAAACAAGTGGAAAAACTAATATTTTATGCTAACCATTCATGAAAGGCTCATTATGCGTCTTTGCAACCGTTTGTGCTATAGCGACTGTACTGAACAATAACCATATAGAAATGCATGAGACCTAATAATAATCAATAAATTTACACAAAGAATTCAGAAAAAATCATATTTCGAAAACTAGCTAAATGATCCTAATTATTTTTCTACAGAATGGACGCGATATAAAAAAATAATCACAAACAATAATATTAAAATGCGAGTAAAGAAAACTGTGTAAGAGCAAAACTATAAATAAATTTACCATGATTGATATACAAATCCCCAAAAAAATGTATGAAAAGCTTTTGAACGCAGCTTCCTTTGTCATCAATTTTTCTTGCACAGAATGAAGAGACTTCTTACAACTTGCAATATTAGATGCTAGCGATATTTGAGACAAGTTGCGTTTGTGACAAAATCCCTCCAGATTTTTGATACAATCTTCTATACAATTATTCAAGTGTGCTGAAAATCACTCAAAGAATATGTAAAATTCTTTTTCTTGATTTCCACCTTAAACTTCGCTAAAAAACAATGAAAAACTGAAATTACCATTTGCAACATCCAGAAGTCCAGTTATCTGATAACTGTTTTTCAATAACGATACCAATGGCATAAGATAGTCCTTTTTTCTTTTTCTTGGCACTAATTGATCAACAAACGTTATGCCAAGACTTTTAACAGGAATTTCAAAGTTGAATATTGATGCTAGAGTAGGTACGATATCGATCTGTTCAATAGAATAAACTGAAAAAAATAAACATATTTTAAGAAATATCAAAACAAAACACAAATCATTTGAATCAAAATCAGTCCAAAAACAGTGGACAATATATTTAAATCAATTAGTAAAAAAAAAACGAACTTGCAGAAAATAATATAGATCGAGCACCTTGGATTCTTTGTCCATCAATGTATATTAATGGCACATTAACTTCTTTTTCCGATGATCCTCCATGATTACCTGCTTCGGTCATACCATGATCGCCAAAAATGAGCATGGAAAAATTCGAATTATGAACCTAGAAAAATTTTTATTTCTACAATTTTTTCTTCAAATTAAATTAAAAGATTATTTGCTTGTTTAAATTATAAGCCAAAAAGAACGGTTATTGGAGAACCACCTGTAAATACATTTCTAAATGACTCTATGATGAAAAGGTCAGGTCTTCTTGATATGGCATCCGACGCCCATAATATTCTCAGAGCAATATGGTACATGCGATAAATAAGCAATCCAGACGACCTCAAGGCTTAAGGATATGATCTACTGGAAGCCACGATAACTTTTCGAAACCTGTCAAGAGAAACGGCACGGCGAGGTATTAGCCACAACAACATGGAACATCAAAACGCTTATGGACGTCGCAAACCAAGTGATTACTATGCACAGCCTTTCTAAATACCGTGTATACGTCGCCTGATTGTCAGAGGTTCGTCTTTTGCAATTTGGATCTCGTGCAATTACCAAATCTGACTGTATTATTATGATGTTTCGCACAACTCTGGGCGAAATGGCGTGGCGATTGCGATGCCTGAAAAAATTTGGTCCGCTTAGATTGAGTGGGAACCCATAAACGACCGCATGGCCTATGCTTATTTCAAAGGAAAGTTCTGCAATATTTCGATGATTAATGACATCACCAGCAGTAACCGCGATAAGGACAGATTCTATGCGAAACTTTATCGGCATACATAAGTAGGTCACGATGTTGTCACGATAACCTAAATAATTGGCAAATATGGCATTGAGGTCCACCAGTCCAGAATGCCTTCTCCTCTTTGCTGAACAATATGAAGTTTTCGTTACTAATACTAATAATGTGCTTTTGGTATTCGGTATTAAAATATCATGTGGAACTTCCCCGGTAATCAACATTTCAACCAGACTATTATATCTTAGTCATTCGTCTTTAAAAAAATTCCGTATTAGGTATTCGTTCCTATCAGAGCGCTGAAATTAGTAATTTTCATGCATAAAATCATGGTTCGAGCTAATTCGCATAAAACTGAAAACTCGCAAGAAATAACAAGATCTTTCAATCATCTCAAATTATAAGATTTGAATAAGTGTGTTTCAAACCGGAATGACCAAAAACGATCTTTTGGGAGCTTATATTTAAGATGGGCGAGAATCCGGATGAATTACTCATATTTATAGCTTTTTTCGCTATTTGGCGACATCACCTGTATTTATAATGTTACCACTTTCGGCCTTCGGTGGTTAGGGCACGTTCCCTGTCGTCACCACAGGAATTTATGTATTTCGTTACTTGTTAAACTTTATAACGGATGATAAAAAGCAAGGTGGTCCAATTAAAACCTAAACCGATACAGACAGCATTTGGAACGTATGGGTTGACCAGCGGTATATGGACTCAGACAGTAGAAAAAAGGAATGGCTTACAATTAATGCCAGCGATATTATCAGATCGTGTCATAAATGTCAGATCGAATTATCAGATCGAATAGCTTAAAGACGTACCCGCGGAGTCAGCCTAACCAGTAATGGTGAGGGCTGTTAGAAAAGAAGCAAAAAAAAGTCGACTAACACGAACTAACGTGTCATAAATGTTTTCAATGATTCCATCCATTTCTTTCAATTTTTTATGGAGAATATTACTTTCACCGCCCAGCGAATGCCCTAAAAATATTCAAAAATATAAGATTTCAATGAAAAATTTCTTGGCAAAGCTGAACGTGTATATTATTTTTTCGAATAATTAACCAATATGGTCGAGTCCCAAATAATGCAGTATCATAACATCCCATGTAGAAATCGTTTCGTTAGTTAGTTCTTTTTTCAAACAAAGTGTCACGTTATTATCCACCTGAAGATCAGAGAATGCTGTCCAATCGTTCGAGAATAAAGAGGCTTAACAAGCTCAGCCATAAGATAATACTATCTATAAGGTATATAACATTTGTGATCTTTTAGAAAAAATTAGAAATATTGCAAAAATGCTTTTTTCAGAAAATATAATTGAAATAATAATTTTTCGTTCAGTCAAATTGAAGTATATTTTAGACAAACTCCGAAAAATTAAAGAAATTGATGGCGATGAAATTAGTAAACCAACTTCTATATAGTCATTGACATAAAAGGATACAATGCCTTCAGATCGATCAAGAAATCGACCAGGAAACAATTTCAACCAAGTATCATCGCCACAAAACATCAATCTGAAAAATAGAATAATATAAAACCTATTTCAGAATCGTGACCAAAAAATTGGTTAATGATGTTTATTTAAAACGCTTATTTGAAAACAAAAGCCACTATGAAAAAAAGACTTCAGATCGAAAAAAAAAACATGCACAAATATTTCCAAATATTTCCAAATATAGAAAAGAGATTACCTGCGGCCAGATTTCCATAAGCGATCAATTATATTATCATCGTTCATCGAATCGGAAGCAAAATTTAAAAGAACATCAACAAATGAGGGAATTATACCAGCTGTTATAGCCTAAAACATCGATATTATCCAAAATTAGCTTTCATTATGAATGAAACCTTCTTGGTATAAGCATGTCCTATGTTTCCTTTCTTTTCTCTTTTTTCCTTTCACATGAATTTTGATAATTTTCTTTTATTCAGAAGATATTGTACTAAATCAACAGATCATTCGTATTTTTGATTATAAATCAGCATTTTGAAATTTTAAATACTCGAATTTTTTAGCAAATAAACTAACTGAACAACATATAAAGGAACTAAAATAGCTATAACCACTCATCTGAGAGAGCAGAAGTTGGCGTTACACTTCATACTTCTATCGCTAAGTGATTCCCTAATAAAATTTATCGTGTCTAACAAGCTAATGAGACAAGCCTAAACTAAAAATGGAACGCTGTTCTAAAAAAAAGGATCCAACATTTATTTCAACAAATCGAAATCGATAAAAATTTATATTTGCACCTTAAAAAAAAAAAAATTAAACTGATGAAAAAAACCTTTATTCTAGGCATTGTCACGGTTGGTGGTTGAAGATGAGCGTTATATGATGATACGTGATCGAAAAGACGTAATCTATTCAAAAATGGCATATGATTATTTTCATGTGAACCAAAGAGAAATTCCGATCGCCATGCATCGATAAGCATTAGAACGAGTTTGTTACTTGTGCGATTTCTTATCGCATTTTCCAAAAATATTTTACATTTTTCATCTGAAATCGAAGAGAAAAATATGAGATGGAAGAAAAATTTCAAATATTTCCTAATAAAATAGAAATTTTATGAAAAAATAAAAAATTGAAATAAAAAATTAAATTAATTAAATTAATTAAAAATCTTTCTAAATAATAAAAATAAATAACCATTGAAAATATGTCGAATATTGAAATTTTTTGAATTAGCGATAATAACGCGATTTGAAGTTTGAAAAAAGCCGAACGTAAAAATAGCAATAGCAAACAGTTCGATTAAGCAAAAAATTTGTAAAAATAATGATAATCGATAGGGCAAAAATATTTTCAACATTTATAAAAAGAAGAGAATTAAAATGACACTAATTTAATTAATATTAATTAACATTAATTTAATTAATTTAACTAATATTAATTTAATATTAATTTAATATTAATTTAATTAATTTGATTATTAATGATTATTATTATCATTAATAAAAATATTTAATTTTTTAAAAAATATTTTTACTTAAAATTTAATATTTTAAAGTGTTCAACTAAAGAGGATTTAACTAATTTTAAATCGACTATATATAAAAACTACTTTTTAAGTGGTTCTCGACAATTATTTAGCTATCAACAGAGTTGATACATTCAACTCCTAAAGCTACAAGCTGTGAACTACTATCGTTTCAGCCATTCTTTAACTTCTACAGCACCTACGGTGAATTTTCTTCCCTCTGGAGAAATTTTCGTCACAAAAAGGAGAAAAACGTTTATTTTATAGTTACCAGGCTTGTTAAAACATGAAATAAGGGGATGAATGAGTGCATTCTCGAAATTTAGAGTTCGAGAATGAATTATGCAGTATTACTACGAATTATCCAGTTATTTCCTCTTATATCCTCGAGCAACACCTCCCCAAGCATTACTATTCAGCAATACCATTACCACTCTCCCTCCCCCAACAAAATGTAGAAAACATGCGAAGAGCCAATTGAGGTTAGGTGGTATAAACGCGGCTGCGGCCTCGATTATAAAGCGGCTACCAACTTGCCGTAAAATATTTTCTTGCAAAATGGAAAAAAAGTGGACATATATTATTTTCGGAACCGAAATTTATTTATTCATTTATTTATAACAACAAAACTTGGCAAAATTCGACAAGAAAGCCTTTTAAAGCAAAGAACAAGATAAATTTTTACGAAAATTCCATAAAAAAAATAAATTCTATAAAAAATTCTCAATGAAAATATTTATATTGGAAAAAAATCTAAAAAATGGTTTTTTAAGTTGAAAAATTTTATAATAGAAAATTTTTTTGAAAAGCATTTTTGTAGAGCGAATTATTAAAAAAAAAAAAGAAAAGCGATATTTTTAAAAGAAAAGAAAATAGGAATAAATGCCTTAAAGCAAAAATTTCGATATTATAAAAGGAATTTTTTGATTAAAAAATTTAATATAAATTTTTTTAAAAATTAAATTTAAATTTAATATAAATTTTATGAAAAGATTAATCCATTAATTAATCAATTAATTATTTTCAATTATAAACGAAGAAAGGAATGAAATGAAATTATTTCAATGAGACGAAAAATGAAATTTTCTTTTTCTTCATTAGTGAATTTGTATGCCAGTAAGTTCCAAATCGCCTTGAATTTGAAGTCCAGAAATGTCGTGCGGGTCCGAGCGATGCGCGAATGACGCAAAACGTACATCGTTAACGAAAATCTATAATTAAAACATATTTTGGAAAAAAATTTGGAAAAATGAACGAAAATCAAGAAAAAATGAATGATCGATCCATTCAATAGGTTCGAAAATTAATTTTCTAAAATAAACAAACAATTACGAAATATAGATATGAAGAAAAAATTAAACCTGGAAAGCGTATTCCTCGTTTTTAATGGATAAGTCGAAGCCAACGCCTTTTTCGAAAGGCATCTTTCCTTCTTTTTCTTCATTTCCCCATTCATTCGATTGTAATGCATTGCGTACGACGACCTGGAAGAATAAGGAGATTTTTTAATTTTACTCTCAGAATGCGACAAAAATTACGTTTATCTCAGCTGAGGTAATACTGGAATACTCGAAAGTATCACAGATTTAATTCGCTCCTCTTCCTTTATGATGCCTATTAGGCTTTTCTAAGCTAATCTCTTCTCTTCCGTTGCTCGAAAAAATATTTGAGGGAGAAAAACCGACCAACCTTTTCATCGAATCGAGGATTGAAATGTAGTGCAATATCGCCATTTTTCTTGAGCAAGTTTATGAGAAAACGTTTCGCCTTATTTTCCGGACATCCAAAAATATATAACGTTTTACCAACACCAAAACCTTGTGCTATTCCACTTTCATAAGGAACCGGCTGCAAAATAAATTTTTAAAAATCTCTTTCTTCTTTTAAGAGTCCTCACCATTATTGGTTAAACTCGCTCCACTGGCTTATCGCATTGGACAAATATGCCAAGAAATCTCTTGGTGAAAGAAATACCGACAGATTCTCAGTATCGGCGCTTCGAAAAAAATTTCTACGCAATAAAAAAAAAAATTATGCAAAAATATTTTTGAATATTTATAAATAGATTTTTTTATTTAATAAGAAAAAAAACAAGTTAAGCAAAACAACAACAACGAACATAATATTTGCCGCCCCAGTGCACTTGGTTCAAGTAAAGATCGCCGTCAACAGAAAGATGCGTTATCGACGAAAGCGGTAAACGATGTTCATAATTTTTGAATTCTTTTTGATCGCATGAAATCTGCAAAAAAAAAGAAAAAAAAATTTAATTTATTTTGCAATAGGGAAAATTTAAAGAATGCAAAGAAAGAACGACTAGTCGTTATTTTATCGATACAAAAAAAGTGCAACAATTGGAATTCTTTAAATTAAAAAATGATTAAAAATAAAAAACCTGGAAGCGATCGTCATGAGCACGAATTCTAATATCGAACGCCTCGCCTCTCTTAAATGGATTACTTTTACGCTCCTCTTTTCCCCATTCTCCATTTGAGAATGTATTCAGTACAATCTTAAAATTAATATTATTAATAATAAAAATTGATATTATTAAAAAATTTAATTTAATAAATTCCTTCAAAATGGCTAAGGTAGCAATATTTCAAAATCAAAATTTTTTTTTAAGACTTATGTGGAACTTTCCAAATATCGAATAAGAATAACCTTTCCTTCATCGAAACGAATAGACATATGAAGTGGAACATCATTACCGCTAAAATCAGCCGTTTTACAGTGTAGATTTAAAGTGAACCTGTAAATCAATATATATTAATGATTAAATGGTACCACTTCCACAGAAAAATTCTGCTATAGATGAATAGTTCATATAGTGCTTATTTAAAGAGCTCTCATCATTACTTATTCGACTTACCAACTCGCTGATTTATCGCACTAGACAAATATGCCAAGATGTTCTTTAGCGATAAAAGTATAAATGAGTCGCCACGATTTTTGGACAGATTTCCTCCTGACGGGAGTAGAATCTCAACAACAGACGCTCTGAATTGAGCAACTAAACCCATTGAGCCATTCTACTCTCCGATACCGCTGATATTACTAAATCCTTTCCCTCAAAACATCATGATCATTTCGTTACTTGCTAAAACCTATGATATGTGGCATCGAAAGCGAGGTGGCCAATCAAGACTTGGACTGATGCGGTCAGAAAAGATTTTGAACGTATAAATGGACCAGCAATATATGGACTTAGACGATGCAAAAAGGAGTGGCTTCTATTACTATCGACCGCGTCACTTGGGAACGCCTTACCGTTGCAGCCACTGGAGTCAGCCTCACCAGTAATGAGAGATGAAAGAGCTGTTAGAAGAAGAAGAAAATTTAAATGGCTTAATTCATCCTTATTCGATTTGCCTCGATTAGTTAAAAAAGAAAACCGTTGGCTTTCATCGATAGTCGATCCTTTAACAATAAGCGTTTGACCGGGCTCAATCTTCTCTTGAAGTTGGCTACGATACGGAATTGGCTACAAAAATAAAATCGACATAAATAAATAAATAAATAAACGAATAAATATTGATTAATTCCGAATTTTATATAAATCAACAAATTTTTAAGATTTAAATTCAAAAACACTAAAAAAAAATTCAGAAATTTGTAAAAAAATTTCTTTTTACGACCTATGAAAAAAAATAACTAACGTAAGATTTTTGTTCCGACATTCTTACGAAACAAATTTATTTCGAAAACTGAAAATTTTTTTCCAATTTCAAATGTTTTTTTCAATTTTTAAGAAAATCGAGTAAAATTCGTTTTTTCTCAGAAATTTTTTTTTTAAAAAAAATTAGAAAAATATTTTTTGTCGATATAAATCAGTGTTTTCTACAAAATTTTTTCACAAATAACAAATAATTTTTGAAAAATTTCATAAAAAAAGCGAATTTTATTTAATTTTCGCTTATAACGAATCTGAGAAAAGAAAATATTAGCTAAGTCGTATGAAATCGATAAAATCGAAGCGAACACAATGTGAAAAGAGGAAAGAAAATAGGAAAATAATGGCTTTTTTTTTTAAGCAAAATTTTTGCACATTTTATTATTTATAAAATAGCAAACAATATTTATTTAATAATCTTAAATCAAATAATAAAAAATTATTTGTAGATAAACGTAAATCGAATGAAATCCTAAATAGCGGTTGATTGTTAAGGAATGATTGGAAAAATAAAATTTTCCCAATTTTTTTGTGTTTTTTTTAAGAATAAAATTTCCAGAAAAAATCCGAGTATCCGAGGATTCGCAATCCGAGGATCAATAAGTCACCTATAGGTGAATTCTCATCATTGTTGCCAGTGGATGCAATGAAACCAGAAACAAGCAGATCTGCTAGAAGAAAAATTATAATATTTATTATTTTTGCATTGCATTTAAATAATCTCGCAATTTAAGGAATTTCATTCATCATAAAAATAATTTTAACTCGATTAAACCAAGCTAGCTGTTTTAGAAAGAAACTGCGATTCGGCTTGGCTGGTTGGTTTAGAGATTTCCGCCGAGGAATGGCATGGAACATAGGCGGGTCGTTAGTACCATTTACATTTTTTTAACAACAGGTTTATTCTAAACGAGAGAAATAGTCGTTGCCTTTTCAAACAGTAATTGAAAGCATTCGATTCATTCGTTTCCTTTTGTAGAATGACTAATAAAATTGGTGGAAAAAAACGGCAGTTTAGAAATAATAAAATTATACGATTGTTGATCGATATTGAACGAACTTATCAACCGTTCATCATTAGAATACTGTGATAATAAACGCACTGATAGCAGTGATAACGCATAGATAATACACGTACGAAGGAATATCAATCAGAAATTGTTGTTGGCATTGCTTTCAAAGTGTATATATGTGTGTGTGTAAATAATAATTTATCTCTCCATCTTCAGCAATCTCTTCACTGACACATTCTTCTTCAATTCGTTACGATTAATAAAAATAACAGCAAAATTTTTATTTATTTTTATTTTTATAAATCAGATGAATCTTTTACAAATAAAATCTTTTTAAATTTAACTGTATTAGAAAAAGACTTAGCGAAAAAATTTTTTTGCCAATTTCTAATTCTTATCATCCCTATCATTATCACTAGCAGTTATCGATTTCACGGTTTATACAAAAAAACGGAATAGATTTGATTTTTTATCAAAATTGATAATCCTTAAAGAATTTTCCGATTCCTTAAAATCCCATAATAATTTTTATAATAATTTTTATGATAAGAACCTTTCCATGTTTATTTTAATATTATACTATTTATTCAATTTACACAATCTGATAATTAGTAATAAATGATTATGAAAAATGATCAAAGAAAAGTCTGATAAAGAACAACAGTTGTGTTGATGTACTGATTAGAAGCGAACTGAACTAAAAAATATAGGCAAAGATATTTAAAGTTATTTATAGCTCTAAATTACTGTAAAAAAGTATTTAGCGCTCAGTATTTTTGGTTCGCTGACTATTGATGCTCTGCTAAGAAAATAACCAACGATAGAAATATAAATAGACCAATGGACAGATTTAGTCGTGTCGACGGTCTCCTCCTCCTCTGACCTCCGACCTTTGACCTTTTATCTCTGACCCCGATTTATGTGAAATACCGCGTTATTCTGCCTCCTAAAATTATTATCCTCTCTTAATTCTTTAAAAAATTCAATTAGCCAAATTCTCAGTTATCGTTGATAAAATTAGAGAAGAAATAAACCCACTGCAAAACGAGTGGGCCATCATTATTACTAAATCGCTTAAAGTGACCACCATTAAATATTTCTTTGCATTTATTATACTAAAATTCGTCTCGCTTAATAATTTTATTAAATTTAATTAAAATTTAACTAATTATTTAAATTATTTTATTTTTAATAATTTTCTTTTCGACTATTATTTTTCAATTTCTACATATATATTTCAACAATAAAAATAATTTCAACAATGTTGCAAATGATAAAACGAAACAGTAAAATGAGAGAAACTTTTAGTCGCTAATGAACGACGACGAGTAAAATGAAAAATTCGAATCAAACTGGGAAATTTTTTTTTATTCGCCAATTTTCAAATATATTTCATTCGATGTTTTTTTTTCCCTCTCTTATTTTCATTTCTTTTTCAAATGTTCAAAGTTGATTATTCAATTTTTTAAAAAAAAGTTGATTAAAACATGAAAATTACATGAAAAGTTGTTTTTCTTAAGAAGAAAATTTTCGCAAACGAAAAATATTTTATTAGTCATACAACTTATTGAACATATATTGATAGCAATAATTGTATTAAACTGATCGGTAATTCCATTTTTGATAAATAGGTTGATAGGTTCCATTTTTGACAAATAGGTTGAATGGTTCCATTTTTGATAGATAGGTTGATAGGTTCCATTTTCGGTAAACAGATTGGTGATTTCGATAAATAAATTCGTAATAAATAGATGGACAAGAAGGAATGATGATAATAGCAATGTTAATGATAACAATAACAATAACAACAACAATAATAAATGATAAAAAAGAACAAAGGATAGAAATGATAAATCAAATTCGCCGTCGAATATTTTCTTTACAACTAGTTTTATTCGACTCTCTTCATTTTATATATAAATTATCCAATGGGTTTATTCTATCGAAAATTTCCGCACAACATAGCACATTCACGAAAATCAATGAAATATACTACGAAACTATAGAAAAGCAAAACGCTTCATTAGCTAATCGTTATCATTAATATCAGTAATACCTCTATGACCAAATTATTAACATCGGTAAAATTTGGTGCGAAAAGCCCGCTCCAAAGAGCGAATTTAATCCAAAATGGTGAATGGGGTTTAAGAAAAAATAAATAAGTAAATTAAATAAGTAAATTAAAAAATCTCCACTTTAAAATGCATTTTTTCAATTACTATTAGGGAACTGATTCTTTTCATAAAATTCTGCTTCAATGTTATCACTTTTATAGGTTTATATAGGTATATATATATATATATATATATATATCAATTATATAGGTTTTCATCGGTTTTAACGATGACACATGACAAACAGAAAGAAGCGAAATTTTCTTCTAGCAATAACGCACTATTTTTTGCTCCACTATAGTGACTATGATAAGAGTTCCAATAGTTGGAATAAAGGAAAATCTCGAATATCTAACTATTCAATTTTTTATCATTATTATCAGTTCTATTATCAGTCATATATCACTTGTTAGTTGTTTGAAGTTTTTGCATTTAGCAAAAATATGACATTTATAAAATTAATATTTATCATTTTTTTACAAGTTTTGTTAAAAAATATTAATTGGTCGAATAAGTTAAAAAAATTTTAATCTGTATTTTCGCTCGTTTATTCAAAAAAATATGAAAAAGTTAATTTAAATGTCTATTTTAACCGATTTTAATTTACGATAAAACTATTGGAAAATTATGGGAAACGACGATTTTTGCAAAAAAAAATCCAAGAATTTTAAGAATTTTTACAAATTTATTAAAGTAAATAATAATAATAAAAAATAAAAATACGAGCGAATAGGAGGAAAAAAAGCAAATTTCTTGTAATTTATAAAATTTTCATATAAAATTCATAAATTTTATAGGCATTCATTAGGGTTGAAAATAATGCCAAAATGTGGCTCATCTATTTCTTTGGTTTTAATAAAATCTTTTTTCTCCGCTAAATGGCACATTTGAATGATGGCAATCATAGAATTTATGTATATTTCCTTTTCCTTTTTTCCTTTCTCTCTTCTTCTTTTTCCTCTTCCACTACGTATATTTTTGTGTTTTTCTTTTTAGCTTCAAATATTTTCCTCTTTCACATCTTGAATAATTTTTCATCCCGCTAAATGGCACATTTGAATGATGGCAATCATAGAATTTATGTATATTTCCTTTTCCTTTTTTCCTTTCTCTCTTCTTCTTTTTCCTCTTCCACTACGTATATTTTTGTGTTTTTCTTTTTAGCTTCAAATATTTTCCTCTTTCACATCTTGAATAATTTTTCATCATAAATATTGGGAGACTCTTTCTTCTAGCAATTAAAAAAGAATCGAATGTTATTATATCGCAACTGCTAAGTTTTTCCAGAAACATTTCCAGGCAAATGACAAATTGATACAATTTATGACGAATAATAGTGGCGAGGAATGATTCAGGAATGATTCAGCAATATAACTAGTCTGGCAAATGATGAATTACTATACGTTCAATTTTCCTCGAGAAAAATGTTACATATTTTTAAGATGGGAAAAAAAAATATGATAGAATTAAATTTTAGCGTGAAAATGAGATCTTTGGTGCATTGTTTTAATGCACTTATGAAAGATTTAAAGAAAAAAATCTACAAGTAGAACTATGAGATGACCTAACCGTCCTTTGGTACTTCTGCAGGTTGCATTATCTAAAAAATCGAATAGAAAACAAGACTCAGTGTAAGCAAATTTAAGTATTTAAGATATATTATTTATTTCGGGAAAAAGAGAAGGTAAAAAAAATTTAAGCGAGTCAAAACTCATAAGGATTTTTTATAAGAACATATAATAAATTAGCAAATTTTAAAAAAATATTATAAAAATATTATCATAATAATATTATAAATATTATATAAAAACATAAAAACATAAAAAATCCAAAAAAAATCAAATAAATAAAGTAAAAACAAAAAACGAAATTAAATTAAT